TAAGAGGAGTAGAACATTTGATTTAAAACTTAAATATAGCTGAATTACATGGTAATGGTGACTGTAATGTAAGAGTGACAAAGCCAGCTCAACAACCCAACATGATCACCACAGTAACATTTAACTTCAATAAAAGGGAATTGCCATAAAACTAAAATACCAGTTAGAGGTAAATTATATGGTAGACTTGCAAACATCATATACACACAAACACCAGAAGACTTTAAAACATCATGATATAGTCTGAAAAGAAATGTATTCCTGAACAAAAAAGAAAAAAAGCTGAGCTGTTGTTCCAAATATGTATTGAAAGAATACACCCTTTAAGAATAATTGATTAGCCAGAGCCATTTGTTAAGGAGATGCTCATATGCAGAAACTTTGGGGATGCCAAACCTGAAACGAAGCCAGGATGCAAAAACCTGAAGCTACCTTTCAGAAAAATACCATAGTCTAGGGCCAAAACCCCTACTTGCCCCCCAAAGCCTCATGCACAATAATGTTGCACATATGCTGCTGGAATTTTCAGAAACAGAAGCCAGCTTGCAGGGGCAGGGAAGCAACATTAGGAACATGAAGAACAGCTGAGCCATCCCTTTGTCCCTGAAGTGTTTATTGTAGGGAGGGACTGGGGCACAGAAAAAACAACATCTGAGCCCAACAACCCTGCAAGGTTTTTTTTGCGCACCCTAGTTAAGACTGCTGCCAGTCTCCGCTAAGATAAGCATTTATTTATCATGTTCACAGCCTGCATACGTATTTTGTGGACAGCCTCTCTACTACGTTTTGTAAGGGGGTTCTCAAGGTGCTCCTTCTTCCCAGTCTGTTCTCAACAAGACTTGTGTGTGCCGCAATATGGCACTTGCATGTGCCGCAAACTTCATTATGCCTCCTTCTTCCCAGACTCCTCTTTTGCTGCTAGAGGATCTGCCCTTTTACTTACCTATGCCCTTTTATTTTCCCATATCTATGGGTTTACCCTCCAAATTTCACAGTGCTTCTTAAATATCACCATACACAGCCCTTTTAAAAAAAATATTGCAGGGGAGTGGAAGAGGGATGACAAGGAACAGAGAGTCCTCCTTCCCCCTGAATTCCTTGCTGCTTGCACCATATAACACCACAGTTAGAGTTTTTGAGAATATCCAGTAGGCCTTGTACATCCTCAGAGGTAATACTGCCATCCTATATACACTTACTTTGGTGTACCTAGCTTACCTCTGAGTAGACATGTGTGGGATTACAGTGTTAATATAAATGTAAAAGAGTCAATGTCAGACACCTCTTTAAAAGCCAATAACTTTATTTTATTTATTTATTTACGGCTATTAGCCCATAAAATATGTACAAACATAAAAGCACAGAGGCATAAAGACCGATATATCCGACAACAGAAGGTGAACACCACGATGCAAGGGAGGGTCATTGAGCAGAGCCAAATAACAGCTTGGGGCCCGGAGAGCTCCAAGGGACGGTTCACAGAAAAAGGAAAACTGAGGACGAGATCCGACATGCACTCTCATCATATGTCAATGTCAGATAAACCCTCTGCTACTAAAATTATATGGAGGTTGGAGGCAAGAAAAAGATTTCCTTCTAGATTCTTATGCCAGAAAGAACTGCCCTGAGAATATTTTAAAAAGTATAAGTTATTTCAGTTTTATCTATTTAACTCCTCCCCAAACCCAAACACACCCTGAGATAGGCAGCAGACCAGGGACAGCTGGGAGGGGTGGCAAATCTGGGCCCCCCAAAAGCACTCCTTTTGCCACGTCCCGTGCTTGTCACCTGCAGCTGCTGCCTGGAAAGTGTGGCAAAATATCTCAGGCTGGCTCTGGCCTGAGTTGCTCTCTCCTTTTTCCAGTCTAACTGTTCTCTGCATCACCTTAGGTGTAGGTGTTGCAATGAGTCAAATGGGAACAGTATGTGGGATTCAGGCTACAAGCTGAACCTTCCACCAAGAAATAAACCTTTCTGGACTGCAATGGTAGTCTGGCCAGACAGGTTTGAAGAGAGAGGTGAGTGCCCTTACCTGACTGGTTGGGACAGGTACAGGGAAGAGATATGATGCACCTGTTTCTATTAGAAGAACCATTCAGGTTGTCTCTCAAACCTATCCCCATATCTTACATCCACATTCCCCTTCCAACTGCTTTCACATGGATCTGTCCGCTCTGCCTCCAACTGTCACCATCTGTCATCCTTCCAAACCTTATTTAATTTTTACATTTGTCTATATCAGGGAAGCTGTACGCCGGCTCCCTCGGCCAATAAAGCGAGATGAGCACCGCAACCCCAGAGTCGGCTATGACTGGACCTAATGGTCAGGGGTCCCTTTACCTTTACTATATCAGGGTAGTGTACAAAATATAAATCATACAACATTGATAACAGCTGGCATGCAGTTAGAATGACAATTCACCACCACTCTTGTAGCAATGAATTGTACACTAAAGGGGCCACACCACTTCTCTCTACCCCTAAGGGCTATGTACAATTTCCACTACCATTATCTAAGCTCACCGCTGCAGAAGAATATGTATGCAGCAAGCCTTCTGAGGATGAGTGGCAAGTAGGAGTTGAACCTGGAGTAAAAGACAGGCTGCTGAGAGATGCTGGTTACTGAGAAGATGGAGAATATTGAGTGAGAAACAAGGAGGGGAGAAAGTTCGACACAAAATCATCTGGGACTGTAAAAAGCAACTTATTGGCTGGAGGAGAAATGAGTAGCATTGGTCCTGAAGGTTCACGTTATGTGCCTTCTGGGAAGCAGCAGTTGTATAAAGCATTCCTGTATCAAACTCTGAGCAACACGTGCAGATTCCACAGTGCAAACCACGAATGAAAAAACTGCTGCTGGTATCATTATCTTAACTTGGAGCACTTGAAAATGTTCCAGCAGCCAAGTCAGTTTTAGAAGGGCTGTTGTTTTATGTTTAAAGATTATGGCTCTCATTGTGTACTCTCTTGCCCACTTTTCTGTGTAACAGGACATCTGACCTTCACTCAGTTATTGAGACTGTATCTCTTAAAAAGAAACAGATATAAATAAACCTTCAATTGCAGCAACCCTAAAAGCTATTGAGTCTTATCACCTATGTGCTACTTGCTAGCTTTTGTTTTAACCCTTCCATTCTCTGGTAAGGCAGTGGAGTTGATCCTCACTATTACTCCTTGCTGGCTGTCACACACAACTGTGCTATTATGTTAAGGGTATTTGTCGCCTTCTTATGGGATTCCATAATCTTTATGTTTTGCTGCCCTGAGACTTATGGGTATAGAGTGGTATACAAATTTAATATTTAATAATTTAATAATAAAAATAACCTGTTTGCTTTCTTGTACTTTTGGAAGCCACACTTAGCTTCTAGTCTCTATTTGTATCATGGAACTGATGCTTATCATTGCTGTTTTCTTGCTGATATTTTAATTGCCCTGTAAGTATTTTATTGATACGGATTTCCTTGTTGTCTGGAAACAGCTTTGAAGTCATATCTGGCAGAAAGCACCATATAAAAACCTTAAACAAGCAAATACTGTGGAACAATTGCATGGTGACTAGTGCTGCATGCGGGGGGGGGGGCGGCTTTGCCACAGAAAAGCCACAATGAAGAACCTACTGCCAGCTTCTTACTTTCTGTGAGGATGCTGTGTCACTGGGTTTTACAGATCACCTTTAACATCAGTAACATCTCTGACCTGAGATAATTGCCTTTAGCTACCATATCGATGAAAAATATGAGCACCTCTGATCTGTGACTTTTGATGGCTAGTCCCAGTTATTATTCGCTAATGAGGGGGGAGAGATGCACCCCATATGGTCCCAAATGCATGTATCCTTTGCTGCTTTTGATGCCCCACATACAAAACCCTCTCACATTCAGAGCAAGCTTGGGCTTGCTCTCCTGGGTGTTGAATCAAGTGAAGGTGTGCATGTCTTTATTTGTAGGGGCCTGTTGAATCAAATAAAGGAGGTGTTGAATAAACTCAAGGGCTGTGTGTGTGTGTGTTGAATCAAGTCAAGGTGTGTGGGTATTTGTAGGGGCGTGATGAATCAAATAAAGGGGTGGGGGATGTTGAATCAACTCAAGGGCTGTGTGTGTGTGTTTGTGTGTGTGTGTGTGTGTGTGTGTGTGTGTGTGTGTGTGTGTTGACTCAAGTCAAGGGGTGGGTGGGTGTAGTTGTAGGGGGTGTTGAATCAAATAAAGGGGTGGGGATGAATAAACTCAAGGGCTGTGTGTGTGTGTTGACTCAAGTCAAGGTGTGTGTGTGTATTTGTAGGGGGGTGTTGAATCAAATAAAGGGGTGGGGGTGTTGAATAAACTCAAGGGCTCTCTCTGTGTGCGTGTTGAATTAAGTCAAGGTGTGAATGTGTGTGTGTGTGTGTGTGTGTATGTATGGGGATGTTGAATCAAATAAAGGGCTGTGTGTGTATGTGTGTTGAATCAAGTCAAGGTGTGTGTATTTGTAGGGGGTGTTTAATCAAATAAAGGGGTGGGGGTGTTGAATAAACTCAAGGGCTCTCTCTCTGTGTTTGTGGGTATTGAATCAAGTCAAGGTGTGTGTGTGTGTGTGTGTGTGTTTGTATGTATGTATGTATGTATGGGGGTGTTGAATTAAATAAGGGGGGACGTTGAATAAACTCAAGGGCTCAGTGTGTGTTGAATCAAGTCAAGGTGTGTGTGTGTGTGTGTGTGTGTGTTTGTAGGGGGTGCTTGAATCAAAATAAAGGGGGGACGTTGAATAAACTCAAGGGCTGTGTGTGTGTGTGTGTGTGTGTGTGTGTGTAGGGGGGGTGTTGAATCAAGGGGTGTGTATAGGGGGGTGCTGAATCAAATGAAGGGGTAGGGGTGTTGAATAAATTAAAGGGCTGTGTGTGTGTGTGTGTGTGTGTTGAATCAAGCCAGAGGATGTGTGGGGGCCAGTAAAGGGGTGTTGAATTGAAGCTCAAGGGCTCTGCGTGTGTGTGTTGGGGTCGGGGCAGCCCTGGGCTCCCTCTGCCCCTCGCCGACGCCGCGTTCAACAAAGAGCAGCTCTTCCCGCCTTTCCCCTCTGAGGCAAAGGCTCCCCTCACGTGAGGCGCGGCTCCTGCCTGGCAGCGGAGGAGCTCCCGGCGGCCGCAACGGCAGCGCCGGCGCTTGAGGGGGCCGGCCGAGGAAAGAGAGGCGGAGGTGTGGGGGAAAGAGCCGCAAACTCTTCCCGCCGCCGCTGCCGCGGCTGCTAACGCGGGTGGGCGGGGAAGGAGGGCGGCGGCGTCCGTGTGAGGCTCGGCACGGCGGGACCCGGCCGGGGAGCGAGTTGCCATGCCCACCAACTTCACGGTGGTGCCCGTGGAGGCGCCCGGGGGCGGCGGCGGCGAAGAGGGCCCCGGCGCCCAAGCGGGGCAGCAGCCGGAGCACGCGGCGGAGGAGCCGGGCGGGGGGACCCTCGGGCGGCCGCAAGAAGCGCCCCTCGAGAATGGCCGCGTGGAGCCCGGGAGCCGAGGCGAGTGGTCGCGCGTGGTCCTCGGGATGTGTGTGTGGTCCTCATTGCTGTGTATCCCACCCACCCGTGGGGTGGCATATGCGTGTTACAAGGAGGTGAAATGAAGGGGGGGGTCGTGTGTATGTCCAGGGGAAGGGGCTCTTCCCTCCCCCCTCAGGACATTTTGGGCATTTTTCACCTCCTGTGGGCGCAGGTGGATTGAAGGGGAAGAGGCAGCAAACTTCGCTTTCGCCCACACTCCCGGAAGGAACTAGAGGAATCTGGGTGTCAACTACGAACCCAGATTTAGTGTATCCATTATTTCCTTTTTTTTGGGGGGGAAGGCTACCAAACGCGGGGTTGGCGCTGCAAAACTTTGGAAAGTACCCCAAACTTCGTGGCTCGTAGTTAATGAAACTAGGAACTGTGGGGGGCAGCTTGGCTTTGTTCATTTTTTATTCTTTATTTCCCAGCACGTGTGCATGCAGGTAAGTTGTGGAGAACTCGCACAGATAATAATGCTCCGGGGAACCTGCGAGTCGGCCCGGCAGGTTGTCCTGGCGAAAGTTCCGCCGTGGGGATTTGCAACTCCCATTGTTTGCTCTCGCCGGTCCCACAGGTGGCCTTTCCCTCTCCTGGCAGCGGATGGAAACAAGGAGGAGCCTCGCCAAGCCTGGGCGTTTCCGGCGCTAGCTTTTGTCAAAACGAGCCACGGTATTGTGCATTTTCTCTGGAAAGCGAAGCCACGTTTCTCATTGCTCCACCTCCATAAGCATGTCTCTTAAGGGAATTTTTAGAAGGAGCACTATCAGGTAACAGTTGGGAAAGGTTAGGAAGCAGAAAGCAAAGTTAAATTTTTTTTTTGGGGGGGGAGTAGTAGTTAGGAGTATAGGCAAGGTAAATCGGTATGTTTCCGGAGTGTACCATGTCAGGTTGCAGTGGGAAAGAGGTGCTGTGTTTTTTAATATTCCCATATGTAAAAGACATATTTACATATGGCATCCGTCTGACCAAGTCAATGGAGGAAGAGTGTGCCTTTGGGGGTGAAGCTAAACCATTGGGAGAGTTGCAGCACCTGCTCTGGCTCTAGAGACGGATATGGGAGAGACATGTTTTGTTTCAGCTGGGGCAAATGAAGGCGTCCGGTTGTTCTGCTGCAGGTGCACCATGGCGTTTCCTCTCTCTGCGCTCCTCCCAGTGGTCATTTCTCCTCTTAGTCATGCTGGCCACATGACCCGGAAGCTGTACGCCAGCTCCCTCGGCCAATAAAGCGAGATGAGCACCGCAACCCCAGAGTCGGTCACGACTGGACCTAATGGTCAGGGGTCCCTTTACCTTTACTGCTCTGGATACACGACCGGACTGTGTGCAGGCACTGCTGTCATCGGCAAGGGATTCCCACATAGCGGGGTTAATGTTGCCAGCCTTCATGTCATGTTTGCAGACATCTTTGTAACATAGAGTTGGTCTGCAAACGGGCCTGGTGCTTGAATGCAGAAAGGGTTCTCCCTGATATGCTACTTCAGGGAGCTTTTTACTTTTGAGGAAAACCTTGTGGGAATGTTCCAAAATAGGCCCTCACCTGCAGTCTTAAGTAGTATTGTGTAGAATGTATCCCACTCTATCATTTATGTAGAGACAACTGTATATATGTTGTGGAATGTGGTGGTAGGGTCTTGAGGGGTATACCACTTCATAATTTTTGAACGATTCCCTGTTTTTAAAAATAACTCATTGCAAGTAGAAAACTAGCACTTCAGGGGGAAAGTCCCATCTGTGCTGTGCTAGTTTTCTTCTATATAGTTTTAAAATGTGGTCCCCCAATTCTAGTGTGAAGTGGTGCAGTCCATTCTACTATTTCATTTTCAATACTTCTACATGCTTAAATTCAGCCTGAACAAATGACTGAGGCTGCATACACATACTTTAAAAGCACATTTGAAGCACATTGCCTCTTAAAAAGATTCTGGGCACTGTAGTTTACCTGCCACAGATTTACAATGATCAGCAACCCTCAACAGACTGCAGTGCCCATAATTATTGCTGGGGAGGGGGTGCGCTTTAAAGTATAGTGTGTATGCAGCTTGAGTTTGATGCTTAGTGTGGCTGAAGAGGAATCAACAGGTGTCCTGAAGACAAAGGAACTGAATAGCATAGGTGCAGAAAAAGCTGAGGGAAAAAGATGGGAAGAGTGGAGAAGTTTGAAAGAAACACCCATGCAAGTCTAGAAAAATATTTACCTGACTTTCTCCTAAAGGACAAAGCGAGAGAACAGACAAAAATAAGAGGAATAGGATTGGATATGAAGTGGTTTGAACAATTGGCCTGAAAGTAATGTGGAAAGGCAATAGGTTCACAAAAATTTGGGATGGAGCTAGGCATGGCATCTGCTGAAGGCAATTATTGTACCATATGACTCACCCTATTGCATTAGATTGCAGCAGTACCTCCCTGGTGCTTCCACTTTGACTACACATACTTGAAGTATATGTGAATAATTCTGGTATGCTTGCCAGCTGATTCCTTTGTTGTTTGGTTGGTTGATCATTCTTCAGTGTGAGCCTAACATAAAGAGATAGCTGGAGAATTCTCCTGACTGTTTTAAGGAGATAGCTGGGGAATTCTCTTGACTGTTTTAAGGAGATAATCTTGGAACCTAGATAAGATGGCATCCAACAGCAGATGGGAGAGTGCAGCTGGGTGTGACAAACAGCAGCTGGTAGTTTTGGAGAGGGAGAAGAAGAGAGATGTGAGTTTGCTGAGCACACCCTGTGAATGCAGGGCATCACTCTGAAGATCTGAAGTGATTCTGCTGTCTTTCTGGAGTGTTGTGTTGCCAGTATATGCCGTGCTTCTATATTTGTAAATATTATGTACACCAGAAGGGGCCAGACTGCACTCGTCCAAAGTACAGTGGTACCTTGGTAGTCAAACGCCTTTGTTGTTGAACAAATCAACTACTGAACGCCGCAAACCTGGAAGTGAGTGTTCTGATTTGCGAACGTCCGATGCGGCTTCTGATTGAGTGCAGGAAGCTCCTGCAGCCAATCAGAAGCCACACCTTGGTTTTTTAACCTTTCTGGGAGTCAAACGGACTCCTGGAACAGATTAAGTTTGACAACCAAGGTACCACTGTATTTTTAAAAAACTGACATTGCTGTTCCTGAGGGAATTGGGGAGTATATAACAATACCTTGGTGCAATCTTATGCCTGCTTCCCTGAGGAATCCTGAGGAAACATGTATAAGATTCCACTGTAAGTATTTATATCAAAGGATTTCATATTCACCTCAACCATTCTTACAGCAGCTCTGTCAGGGATTGTGAAGAACACCGAAGGAATTTGTAGCATTATTAAAATAACATATGCAGTTCAGTGTAAGAAAGTGTGAAGGGATGCACATTGGAGAAGAAAATCCTAACTTAACAAATACCCTATTGGGGTCTGAACTGGCAGCGACTGACCAGGATACAAGACCTCAGGGTCATGATGGATGATGAAAATGTTGACCCAGTGTGCTACAGCTGTGAAAAGGCTAATTCTATGTTGGGGATCATTAGGAAGAGGATTGAAAATAAAACCACAAATATAATGCCATTATGGAAAAATATGGTGAGACTACACTTGAAATACTGTCTGCAGTTCTTATAATTGCAACTCATAAAAGAAATTGTTGAGCTAGAAAAAGGGGAACGAAAACGATCAAAGGGCTAGAGCAACTTCCTTGTGAGGAAAGATTACAATATTAGTGATTTCTTTGTTTAGGGGGGGTGAGTGACATTTCAGAGGTGGATACAATTATGCACGATGTGTGGAGAAAGAGAAGTTTTTCTTCCTTTCTTATAACTCTAGAACCCAGGGTCATCCAGTGACACTGCAAGTTGAAAGTTTAGGACAGGCATAATGACTGTTGTCAGTTGCTGAAAATCACAACTCTGCTCAGGTCCCATTCTGGTCTTTTTGCTGCCACCACTGTGCTCTCTCTGTTGTTGTTGGTATCTGTCTAATGATGAATTATTATTTGCATTACAGTACAGTTGTAAAAGGGGACGCGGGTGGCGCTGTGGGTAAAAGCCTCAGCGCCTAGGGCTTGCCGATCGAAAGGTCGGCGGTTCGAATCCCCGCGGCAGGGTGCGCTCCCGTTGCTCGGTCCCAGCGCCTGCCAACCTAGCAGTTTGAAAGCACCCCCAGGTGCAAGTAGATAAATAGGGACCGCTTACTGGCGGGAAGGTAAACGGCGTTCCGTGTGCTGCGCTGGCTCGCCAGATGCAGCTTTGTCACGCTGGCCACGTGACCCGGAAGTGTCTGCGGACAGCGCTGGCCCCCGGCCTCTTGAGTGAGATGGGCGCACAACCCCAGAGTCTGTCAAGACTGGCCCGTATGGGCAGGGGTACCTTTACCTTTACCTTTACAGTTGTAAAAATGGGTAGAGAGAGGGACTGAAAGGGAGCTTTATAGAAGTGTCTAGCCCAGGCATAGGCAAACTCGACCCTCCAGATCAGCCTTTCTCAACCTGTGGGTCCCCAGATGTTGTTGAACTACAACTCCCATCACCCCTAGCTAGCAAGGCCAGAGCTCAGGGATGATGGGAGTTGTAGTCCAACAACATCTGGGGACTCACAGGTTGAGAACCGCTGCTCTAGATGTTTTGGAACTACAACTCCCATCATCCCTGACCACTGGTCCTGTCAGCTAGGGATGATAGGAGTTGTAGTACCAAAAGCATCTAGAGGGCCGAGTTTGCCTATGACTTGTCTAGCAAGAGAACAGCAAAAGAACAACATGCTAACAAGACACAAGGTATGATGGGATTTGTCAGCTTGAGTGCCTGCCTCTTTCCTTTTATTTTATTCCTGTTACTTGAGCTTACATACTTCTGGTATTGGAGGAGAAAAGCCCCTAAGAAGACAGATTGTGAGAAGGAAAGTTAGGGTGAGGGGAGATTTTAGCACCCTCAACCCGCACTCCATTTGTTCTGAAAATTGTCCAGTTTAACCAAATGGAGATGTTACTATCATGT